ATATATATATATATATATATATATATATATATATCACTTTATATGAAAAAAATTAAGGTTTAGAGCTATCAGAATAATACCAAGCTGCTTTTTGCTTACTGAGCACAGCAGAGCTGCAGCATTTAATTTTAGAATGTTTCCTGAGGACCAAGAAAGATGTACCAAGGAAGGATGCTATTCGTTTTGATTATTTTTCTGTATTTAATTATTAAATTACAGGCGCTAATTTCAAGGAGGGTCTACTTGGGTTATGTAAGGCTTTATAAAATACACCCACTTGAGATGTGGCAGATTTTTTCTTTAAACGAGCATATAGAGGCGCCTGAGTGGCTCAGTCAGTTAAGCGTCAAATGTCGGCTCAGGTCATGATCTTACAGTTTGTGGGTTCCAGCTCCGCACTGGGCTTTGTGCTGACAGCTCAGAGCCTGGAGCCTGCTTCAGATTCTGTGTCTCCCTCTCTCTCTGCCCCTCCCCTACTCATGTCCTATCTCTCTCTCTCTCAAAAATAAACATTAAAAGATAATAAAAAAATAATAATAAATAAATAAAAGAGCAGATAAACTCCTTGCCCCAGAACCCTCAAATAGCAAGTAGAGATATTGGAATATGACACAAAATTATTTTATTCCGAAGTTCTTCTTTCGTTTTTCTTGGTTGGTTGGTTGTTATTGTTTTCCTCTGTTATCATGTTAAACTCTTGCCTTGCAATAGTTAGGTTTTAAAATGTATTCATGTACCAAAAGAAGATCCAGAGAATAAATGTCGATGATTCTAGTCCTTTGTTCATGTTTTGTTACTAGCTTTCTAAAACAAATATCCAAAAAGGATATTCAAATACATACAAAAACATTTAAGGTAATGTGGTTTTGAGGCTTATTCTTCAAAGACTATTTGAAATTGCTAATAGACCAAAAAGTAGGTATTATGTTATTCTTATCTAGAGATGGAAAAACTGAGGCATTGAGAGATTAGTAAATCGCCCACCTTGACACAGCTAGAAAGTGTTGAATCTGAGAGCAGATCCAAAGTCTCAGTTTAAAACTATGCTGTTGTCTTCTGTTATATTGGCAGACACAATGCTGACTACTTAAGGCTTAGGACACAGAAACAAGAGTGAATATAAATTACCATGCTCCCGGCCACAGTGCCTATGAATATGTTATTTTTTTTTTACACAAAGTGCCTATATTTTTGTAATAAAATTAATTCCTAATGTCCCATGGGGCTTCACACATTTGAGAGTTGTCTATTGATACTGCTCACTCATCCGGTTGAATGGGGATTGAATCTCTGACAATAGGCCATGCCTAAGGAACCCTGTTAGTAAGAGTAGGTGTCTCTGCTCAAGAAAACTAATTTTGATACAGTGGCCTGGCTGTGAGCCTTATCACTGTATTTGGAAACTTTGGTTTCGTTCATGGTAGCAAACTGCTTTTTGGAAGTAACGCTACCTGAGACTATTCTTTATATTTTTATATTATTCATGGATTTTCATTACGTGGTTCACTTCCTAGTAGAATGTGTAATATTTTGCAGTGGTGGTGATCTATTAAATATAGAAGAAAGTGAAGTCTCCTTTTTTATTAAAAAAATTTATTAAATGTTTATTTAATTTTGAGAGACAGAGAGAGCATGAATGGGGGAGGGGCAGAGAGAGAGGAGGGCACAGAATCCAAAGCAGGCTTCAGGCTCTGAGCTGTCATGCTCTGAGCTGATGTCAGACGCTTAACCGACTGAGCCATCCAGGTACCCCATGGAAGAAAGTGAAGTCTTTTTACTACCTCCTGTGTAAATGTCTGAAGTGCTCTTTATGAATAAGCACAGGAAGATTGAACTAACTAAAAATATCAGATTAAGGTGTATGCAGAGTTTTGCAACCATTAATAAACAACATGACATTTTTGTTTTGTTTCTATTGGCTTGAAATTATATTAGCTACAGAAACATACTTAGTACATATTCTTAATTGGCACATGATCTAATCTTTAAAAATGCCCTTTCTGTAATGATATCCCTGTATGTCATATTCCATTTTAGGTTTATTCAAAGTAATGTTATAATAAAATTGGTCATTCTGTACCATCTTATCCCAATATAATTACACAGAACAAATACTTTTTCTATCCAAAATAGTAGTTTAAGGAATTAATTTATTCTCATCTGCCAGAAGTTTGACCAAAATTAAGAGCATTTATCAGCCAAATTTAATTTTTGCCCTATTTTTAGTTTCATCTCAATTACATTGAACTGGATAAGAAAAAATAGTGCCCTTCAGGGGCTTCTTCTGAGGACCATTGACCTTGCACTCTCTTGATCTGGACAGATGTGGCTTAATTCCAGCTACTTCTCAGTAGGTCTCTTAGTCCCTTCAAATCAACTACTGGCCTCTTCCATGTGGTCTACATTCATTTCCCAGGATATATTTGTGCCTTATTGTCCCTCCAGTCATGAGGGCGTTGGCCAAACCCAATATAGTGCCATTGACTTGCCTTTGCCCTAAAGCACCTGCACTCTTGTCCTCAGTTTTCAGACAAGAGTGAGATCCTGCCTGAATCTGTCCAGTCCACTGTCCTCATCTGTGTGGAGAAAGCAAGCTATCCAGGTGGCTCCTGGGAAATCCTCTCCTTAACTCAAGGATAGAAGGTGGTTCCCACCACTATTTCCCCAAGTCGACTGTCAATGTATCAATGGTTCTCTCCTAAGAAATAACTGTGTTTTAGTTTAGTTTTGTTTTTTTATAGACCTGCAGTGAGTATAGTTGGGCAAAGTTCTTGAAATAGGTTTATTTGAAAGTTTGCATAGGAACTTTTAGAATTTCACTTTGGAATTTCATATCACTTGATTTTTTGGTGCTAGGGTGAAATTTATAATTAACCCCTTTTTCCATTTGTCAAAAGCAAGACTCACCATTAGAGGCAGGGAAATGAGACAAGAGAAATTCCTTTATTTCACAGTATTCATGCTGTGTTCATGACTGAATTGGCCTGTTCATGTCAGTTGCCTGATTTAATCATAACAACAACTCTGTAGGATTGGGAATATTATTCCCAATTTACAGAAAAGGAAACTAAGTTTCAAAGAGGAGATTTTTTAAGTGATAAGATACTCTGGAAATAGAAATGTGTGACTGGAAAGCTTCAGCCTTTCCTGCTGGAATCCAGCTCATCCACCACAGGTAAGATATATACTTACCTAATCGCCACTGTTAGCCTAGGACGGCTGCAACTATTTCTCAAATAGTCCCCTTCCTTTGGTAGACATGGATATAAGAATGTTTGCGGTCATTTCTACTACTGTTGATTCTGAATACAGCACATAAAAAATCTTAACATTGGCTGTGTCTGAAAATATATGTTTCAATTTTTTTTTTCAGACAATAGATTTTGAAGGTTTCAAGCTATTTATGAAGACATTCCTGGAAGCAGAGCTTCCTGATGATTTCACGGCACACCTTTTCATGTCATTTAGCAACAAATTTCCTCATTCTAGTCCAATGGTAAAAAGTAAGCCAGCTCTCCTTTCAGGCGGTAAGTCTAATTATTTATTTAAGTATGTATACACAGTAGAAACCTCAAAGGGGAAATCAGTATCAAGTTCTCTATAAGAGAAGAGATTATTTGCTTAGGAAATATCTTTGTTGCAAGACTTATACTGTCATACTAAGACTGTGCAAAATATTTAAAGTATCTCTGATATAATAATAGCTAAACATTAAAGAAAATATACTTTTTCATTATCCATCACTTGTCATTCACAGTCTTAGAAGTCTGTGTTTAGGTAATAATTTTAAGAGATACTTCCATCACATATGGAAAAGTGCTCCTTTAAATGACTAGATAAATATAGATCACTTTATATATGAAAATGTAGTCACAAAGCCATCATGTGTAGGAAACATAATATTTTTATCACTTGTGTAAATTTCCAATATGCTATCAAGGAAGACAGTTTTGATTTTTCTCTTGGATACTTTTTTAAAATTTAATGTCACCATAGAGATGATCGGTTCTGTCATAATAAGTAGCTTTTCAGAGATGTCTCATGCATTAATACCTGTTGCTAATTGTGTCTAGCTCCATCCAGTCAGGAGAACAGAAGTCTCACTCTATTACTCTAGAGAGTGTAGAAGAGGTGATTGGTTAAACAGTGTTGGAAGGTTGAAAAAGCAATGAGAAATACTGAGGTTATGCAGAGGCAGAACCACAGGAAGTGTGTTGGTTGGAGTAATCAAAACTCAGAAGCTTGGAGAAAGGACGTCTTGGAACTGGGACACAAGGTTCTGCGGGGAAGGTGTTGCCTGGCAGATCTCACCCTGGGACTTCTGTGAAGGGGCTACTTCCTTCTGAGTTTTATAGCTCAGGAACTCAAGAGGAACCTGCAGCTTGGCAGTCAGACATCAGAGGAGCATCTCCGAGGTCTGTGCAGGACTGTGTAGCCAGAGCTCCCTCTGCCTTTCTCAATGTGGATAAAAGCTAGTGACTAGATCCTCTTCTGCCCAGAACCATGTGCTGTGAGGGTGAGATACCTGAGAGATCTAACAGGAAGTGAAGGTAGATGAGCAGGAACCAGCCCCTTCTCCTTTCTTTCTTGTCATGTCTCTCTAGTGCCCCCTGTTAACTTGATAGGAATCCAGCTCACAACAGAGAAACGTAGTATACAGCTGAGTTTCTCAAACTCTTTGGTCTCAGGACACTTTCAGGACCCCAAAGAGCTTGGATGATATCTATTGTAACCACATTAAAGATGAGACATTGTGAGAGTAACCATAATCAACCCATTACATGTTAACAAAAATAACATTTTTTTCCGAAAAGTAATTTCAAAAGCAAAACAAAAAAAATTGTGAGTAGAGTGGCATTGTTTTATATCGTTGCAAATCTCTTTAACCTCTGGCTTCGTATCTGCTTCTGTGTTTCTTTCGCTGTATCCTATGTTATGCAACCTCATAAAAGATCTACTGTACAGTCATGAGAAAATTATAGTGAAAAAAGCAAATGTGATATCTCACAATTATCACTGATAATCATTTGACCTTACAGATTCCCTGAAAGGGCCCAGGGATCCCAAGGGAGCCCCTGCTCTAGCGACTTCAAGCCCTTACATCACTAAGTAGAATATCAAAATGTGAGTAAAGGGATAGATGTTTAATAACCCACACTCCAATAAAAAAAAAAAAAAAAAAAAAAAAAAAAAAAAAAAACCTGGAACACGTAATTAAGAAATAGGTGGTTGAGCCATAACTAACACTTAGGCAGTGTGATAAAGAGTCCATGCTCCTTCCCCTTCTGTTAATGACATAATGTCTCTTTCTCAAGTGATTATATATATGTTGGTGCAAGATTTTTTTTTCTTATTTTTAAAATTTACATCCAAGTTAGTTAGCATATAGTGCAATAATGATTTCAGGAGTAGAATCCAATGATTCATCCCCTACATAAAACACCCAGTGCTGATCGCAGCAAGTGTCCTTCTTAATGCCCCTCGCCCATTTAGCCCATGCCCCCACCCACAACCCCTCCAGCAACCCTCAGTTTGTTCTCTGTATTTAAGAGTCTTTTATGTTTTGTCCCCCTCCCTGTTTTTATACTATTTTTGCTTCCCTTCCGTTATGTTCATCTCTTTTGTATCTTGAATTTCACATAGGATTGTAGTCATATGGTATTTGTCTTTCTTGACTAATTTCCCTTAGCATAATACACTCTAGTTCCATCCACTAAATGGAAATGGCAAGATTTCATTCTTTTTTTAGTTTTTTTTTAACTTTTATTTATTTTTGAGAGACAGAGACAGAGACAGAGCACAAGCAGGGGTTGGGGGAGGGCAGAGAAAGAGACATGGAATCTGAAGGAGGCTCCAGGCTCTGAGCTATCAGCACAGAGCCCAACACGGGACTTGAACCCACAAACTGTGAGATCATGACATGAGCCAAAGTCGGTTGCTTAACTGACTGAGCCACCCGAACTTCTCAAGATTTCATTCTTTTTGATTGCCGAGTAATATTCTGTTGTGTATGTGTGTGTGTGTGTGTGTGTGTGTGTGTGTGTGTGTGTGTGTGTGCATGCCACATCTTCTTTACCCATTCATCAGTCGATGGACATTTGGGCTCTTTCCTTGCTTTGGCTATTGTCAATAACACTGCTGTAAACATTGGGATGCATGTGCCTCTTTGAAACAGCACACCTTTATCCCTTGGATAAACACCTAGTAGTGCAATTGCTGGGTCGTAGGGTAGTTCTGTTTTGAACTTTTTGAGGAACCTCCATACTGTTTCCCAGAGTGGCTGCACCAGCTTGCTTTGCCACCAGCAGTGCAAAAGAGATCCTCTTTCTCTGCTTCCTCGCCAATGTCTGTTGTTGCCTGAGTTGTTAATGTTAGCCATTCTGACAGGTGTGAGGTGGTATCTCCTTGTGGTTTTGATTTGTATTTCCCTGATGATGAGTGATGTTGAGCATTTTTTCATGTGTCTGTCGGCCATCTGGATGTCTTCGTTGGAAAAGTGTCTTTTGCCCATTTCTTCACTGGATTATTTGTTTTTTGGGGTGTTGAGTTTGTTAAGTTCTTTATAGATTTGGATACTAAGTCTTTATCTGATGTGTTAGGTGTGCGCTTTTCTAAAAACAACTGTACACCTTCCATATGATATATTTTGATCCCTTCAAACTGTATACCAAAGAGTGCATTTATTATAATCTTTAATTACCCTTAAAATATTTTAGTTACTTAAATAATTCCCTTTATATCATGAATTGGAAGGACTCCCCCCGCTTGTTTTTCTCTGAGTCTTATTTTGTGTGTTCTCACAGTGTGCTATCAGAGCTTTCCAGTGTTTGGGACTGAACATTTTAAAATGGGACAGTTGCTTACTTTGATCGAGAAATTAAAACTCTGTTCTCCATTTCATGCTATAAATAGGTTGTACATACCATAGACTAAATAAAATAAAAATTGTCTTTTTAATTTCAGATGAAGCAATACTGTTCTTGAGTTTTGACAAAGAAGCAAGGGGAACATTTTTCAATCTGAGTAATTGTGTCAGACTTGGATGAAGGGGAGAGATTCTAATTAATTAGGCAGGCTTGTAACAAGTGAAAATCTCAAGCTCTCTTTTCTTCAAATAGCATGTAGTATTACACAGAAGATGCCAGATTTACAAGGAGTAGAAATCGAATTAGTTTCCAAAATGGAAAAAAAAAGGGTAACAGCTTGTACTTCATTTGGGACAGCCACATAATCTGCACAGATCTACTTGAAAAGGAATTGCAAGATGGGCTGTGTAACTCTCATGTAGCAAAAAAATAAAACTGGAATTCCTTTTCAAAACTTGGTCTCCACATTTTAAAACATAAGTGCATGGTGTCCTTCATAGCCCTGTTTTTAACGCCATATTCTTTGAAACTCACCACTGACAGTGAAAAATAAATGTATGTTTATTTTTAGAACCCTACTTTGCAATAATCTGTTATGTACACAAGATGTATTTGTGGCTGAAAAATCACAAATTAATATTGAATACAAGAGAGCTATAATCTGTTTTGTTTATCCCTTCTTAGAGTTCACCATATTGCATTACTACAATATCAACAGGAATATGATCACTATTCTTGACTCTGTATATAAACTAAACAACAATGGTTTCTCAATAAAAAGCAAGACTAAATTGGGAAAAATGTTAATGTTAATGAACAATATTCAAGTATCGGAGATATGGTGAATGTAAAACATTTAGTTTTTATAGAATAAAAATGTTTAAATGAGTATAAAGAGGCATAAAGGGGTGTGTGTGTGTGTGTGTGTGTGTGTGTGTGTGTGTGTGTGTGTGCGTGTGTAGTTATTTTTTGTTGAACTTGTAGTAGCTACTGATCCATCTGGTATTTTGTGTAGTGAATGATTTTTTTTTGGGGGGGAGTATATTTTGTTGCAGTATAAGTGCCTTTTGTCACCTACTTAAAATGTAAGCTGATTATTTTTCCTGTACCCAGGTTAGACTTTTAATTTTTGAAGATATTCCTAACACTATATATTTCCAGATTTCTCACTTCTTCTGCTTCACCATAAATGTCACGTCCCTAACTCCTCACCTCTTTGCTGGCCTAAGAGACTAACTTCTGATTTTACCTTCATCACTAGAGTCTATTACCTGAGCTATTCTCATTACAGGATTGTTAAGTCATGTGGAACCTTTGCTTTTTTGCAAGTGGCTCATATACCTTCCACCATGAATCGATATTATTATCTCATATTTCAGTCCGTACAACTCAAACAATAAGAATAACCCAAGAGAAATTTTATAAATATGCAGATTGTTGCCTACAAATTCTTACCATTCAATATTAACGTGGCCTTAACACCTTTACACCTTTTTAAAAAATCTGTCTTAAAAAGTACTCATTTTTGATGCTGTCTCCTAGCTCAATTAGGTTAAAATTTTCAGACATCCTTTAGCTTATTCATTTCTTTCTCCTCATTTTCAATAGGTGATTTTTTTCACAGCGTACAAAATAACATAAAGTACCTCAATTATTCCCCA